ACGTAAAGATAGAACAGATTGCAGCTGAAAATTACAAAATAAGACCAAAATATAATACAGAAGGGAATTAGAGTCAAGGAAGGATGTATAGTTTTAGCACACAGAGTTCGAGCTTGATTTCATCTAAAATAAAATCTTTGCTGAATTCTCTTTATTTCTATTTAATGATAAAATGGATTATTTTAATTATTGTCTATTGTTTGTTTTTGAAGTATGAAGAAAATCGGTACAAAAATGGGGGATTCAGAAAAACGTGTTCCGTCCTATCGAGGACTTGTCAATTGGATGTGTATCTGGATTTCAGTGTTGGGTGTTCACATTCGAACTCGAGTTCAATAAGGTTATTTTTAAATATAAATGCGTTATCCACTGGACAAATGATACAAAACATAGAAATAGTTGAAAAAATAAGTGGCTATGTGGACCTAGTATCTCAGTGATGTTTGAAGCAAAAGGTACTGGGTTTAAGTGTTTGTATGAACATGAACACTAGGATACAGGTAAATCTAATTGATAAGTCCGAAAAAGAAAAAAATACGAATCCTTGATCCAACTGTAAGCCACAAATAATCTATTCTAATAACATGATCTTTTGAATGATACAACTGCTTAAATACAACAGTAGAGAGACTTGATAAATTGCTAAGTTTTATTTCTGGAGTGTAATGTTGAAGAATTAGTCGGAAAAAACTGATTCAAAACTAAATGGCGCTTTTGTATTTCAATATTATGTAGTGATAATCACTGGCTTCTCAACCCAATTACAATAAATAGCTGAATATATGGATTTTATCTCTCAACTCAATATAATTCTCCACAGTTTGCAGGTTATAGACAAATTTACATACTATTGAAACCAATGTTGAGAACAAAACTGTCTAGAGTACCCTGTCAGAGTATTTGTACCACTATGTCTTTATAAGGCAATCACAGGGGAGAAAATCAACTGAGAAACCAAGTCAAAAAAGGAAGCTCTATATAATTCTTTTTTACATATTATTTAAAACATGTTAGTAACTGAATGAATCACCTCCATGTACAAATTCAAGGATGGTAATCGAAACTTTTCAAACATTTGTTCAATCTGAAGATAGTTGAAATGATGTGGAGTAACGGTGGGAAAAAAAAACACATTAACACAAGAAGTAGATGGTTTATAACGTAGCTTGTGATTTACAACTCCAATTTCTAAATCATAAAAATAAGGATAGTAATTTTCTACATAAACGGAAAAATTGGTGCAAAATGCCATCAAAATACATAAGCGCCACATAAATCATTGGATGTTTGGGTTGGAATACTGTCCAGGTACTCAAACCGGAACCAATGGACGTCTTAGGGAGCCACTCCTCGAGTCTTTAACCTAGAGATCTAATCCACAAAGCAGTGGAGAAACGTGAAGATATGCAGTCCCATGATAACCGATGACCAACAGCAAGTTGATACATCATTTGTTTCCTTAGGAATCTAGAGCCCATGTGCACCAGTGGTTTTAAATCAAGGCTTTCCAACTCTCCTGTTCGGATTCTCCATACCTACTAACTCGGTTTAAGCGCTGGATATTTGTTTTCCATCCTCATTTCGTAAATAACACCCTGTTTATGAGAATGTAGTGAATAGAACTTCCCTGACAGTAGCTATATACACATGACCATATGATAGTAATAAATGTATATGAGTAAAATAAGCACATTTTACTTACTGTTCAACATTTGCACTACGTTCATTTAAGAAATTTAAAACATTGATTTCAAGCATAGCAGCTTCACGATATTTATCAACATTTTTGATAATTTTCAAAGCAATTCTACGATTTCTATACATGGGAAGAAGTAAAATGATCAAAATAAAATATACACAAGTGAACAGTTTAAAAATAAGTAATAATTTATTATCGAAATGAAAACAGTAAAAGTATGATACAGAAACCATGACAGAGAAATTGAAAATGACTCATCAACGACTTATCAAGGGTGGAAAACATTTCGACTACACCGAATCATCATATAGTTTAAAAACATGTTACGATGGTAAATTGAAACAAAAAAAGGATTCAGATAACATACGGTGTGGCATAGAAGAATTGAATTCGAGTCTCATAAATGTTAAAATCATATTGTAATGAACGAAAACTCAATCACGGTAAACCGATTTATTGTTTATGCGAAATCAAACGGTGCCATTGTAAACTACGAAAATCCTACATTAAATACTTCATTCGCATATCTACCTTAAGTTCTCCTTTACATAATCTACGATTCTTCCAATTCTGTTGTTATTCCTGTCGCTTTCTGTTTTCCTTCCTCATCTTTTGGTAAGCACTCCACTTCTAATTCCTGTTAGATGCTACTTATATCTGTCCGCACCATAATATCTCATTAGTTCAGTGACTACGACGTCTATCAATTCAAACAATGCGACACTTCATTACAGAGATCGTAGTTGAAACATTCAAGCGATAGCATCATTTAACGAATATGATTTATCTTCTAGTCATATGAAAATAACGTAAGGTTATTCAGACTTAAAGCATTCAGCTATGGTGTAGAATCAGTGTATACATACCACTTCCTCTAACATTACAGCATAAAACGTCCACACTGTCAGAAAGATTACTAAGTGAAACAATTGATGACTGCATTTACGAGAATTAACCAAAAAAGATATGAACGGTTACTCATATATAGAAAGATGACAACAACAATGACAATGGTAACAATAATGTTTATGTTGAATTAAGTGTTAATTAAACTTACTGTACATGATCTTTGCATTCAACAACTTTACCAAATGTACCTTCCCCAAGTGTCTTGACAATTTCATCTAATTGCAAAAAAGAGAAAACAATCATGAAAAAATTAACATGATTTGACATTCTTGATAATTACTAACAATGGGATATAGATCCAGCCAAGTGTCCACAGCTTCTGTTAGGAAATATCTACTTATTACTTTTAAGGCAATGGAAGTCTTTTACAAAAATGAGAGGTGGAAAAGAGGACATCTGGTGTTAAAACCATGTTGGTGGATATAGAAGCTTAACCTAGGGGGATCGGAAAACCCTGATTCCAAACCAATCGTGTATGTTCACTCCAAGATCCTGGAGGGACGAATAGCTTATGAACATATTCTAGGTCACTGGCAATTATGGAACGGTGTCTCCTAATAATTGGATTGGACCTTTAATACAAAGGTTTATCAGGTGTCCCTCTAATATGACCACCTTCAGTTTGGGCACATAAGTAGTATTTCAGTACACATATTTTGTCACATATTCCATTTCCGATGCCTACTTGTAACAGATTTTAGGAGAATAAGACATAAATACCTTCAAGTTTACAACACGTTTGACACATGCTTCAACCTACCAGAAAATCCTGGTACTAACCACAAGCAAATCTTTTAGTAAATAACTTCACACAAACTTTTTAACATAAACAAACGTCAGAAAAAAACTATTAGAAAAATGCTGTGATTGTTTTAAAAAAGAAAACTCTTAAAATGAATTCATTTCTAATAAATCATATACATGAAAATAGATAATGATGTAAAAAGATGGTATGAAAATTTTACATACAAAACAATACAGTGTGAATATTATTAAGTGGTAAACTCAATATTTTGTTAGTGCCAACAAATAGAGAGATAGTGTGTGAACAAATTAAGATTCAAAAGAAGTATCTCTTAAGGTACATAGCTTTTTTTCAGTTGAATTATTATAATGATTTTCATTGAAGATATTAAATGAAATGTACCATAAATAAGAATTCATAGTTACTGGGAATAGAAACAATTTGCTTATGAGAACAATAATAAAAACAACAGACTGCAATCTGAATGAATATATAAGAACGATTTCAAGTTATATCAATCTAAAGTAATTACTAAAACTCATATAAAACTGCCTTCTCGCGGCGGGGGTTTTGTTTATGAAATTGAGAAGACGAAAAGTGAATATCCGGTGCGTCAACCGGATTGGTGGATATGGAGGATCCATCTAGGGCGGTTGGAAAACCCTGATTCCTAACCAATGGTGCACATGGGCTTCAAGATCCTAAGAGAACAATAGGCGTATGAAAGAATCGCTGGTCACCGGCTACCATGAGACTGCATCTCCTCACGATGCTCCACCGCCTTATGAATTAGGTCAAAGGTTCGGGTTGTGCTCCCCCCTAAGAAAACCACCTGTTTCGGTTTGGCCACCCAATATCCTAGCCCATATGTTAATTTAAAGATAATTTATGTGGGACATACATATCTTGGCGCTTTTTGTACAAATGTTTATGGTTAAATAAATGAAATAAATAGAAACCTCAAAAAATAGTGTTAAAATCTCTCAAGGGATAATCTAACACATTTGTTAAATTTTATATTTTGATAACTATTTACCAATAACAATAACAATGTGCACAGAAAGAGGATCGAGATCTAGGATTCCATTAGATGTTTCAAATTATTAACGATATTAGTATTGTTTAATACATTTTTTCCGGTCCTATTAAATAATTCTCTCCTCAGGAACAGTTTTCAATGGGAATTTTCATCAAGAAACAATCTTACTAAGATATGAATTTACAAGAATATATAAGCTATCGTTGACAAAATTCATCAAGTACATATTTATGTATTATAGTTTGAGACACGTTTTGTCTGTGAAGCCTATAATACTACACGACTTTGGGAAGAGAAATAATCGAAGTGAGACTGGAACCTGAGATCTATTGGCCGAGAACTTAATACCTTAATCACAAAGAAATCATCACAAACACATGTTAGTTACATTGTTAAGATGAGTGAATAAGCACATGAAATTGTCTGTGACTGACACAATAATGTCAACAAGCAGACCTCTTATTTAATAATAATAATAATAATCCATAGTAGAGTATATCGAACAGAAAAACACAACAATATGTACACAAACGACTTACATCGATTCAATAAACGATCACCAATACTATAGATCAAATGACCGTCAACATCATCGACAACTTCATCATCGTCTTCTTCTTCAGGAGACTAAGAAATAAAAATATACAAGAATGTCACATTTAATTATTGAAAATACTTAGAAAACAACAAAAATATGTCACCTAACTAATTCTTTTACTTATGAATAAGTCTACGGGTATAATTGAAGTGCATTATTCTAAGATAAACATTTATATAACAATCATGAGTTATTTAGAAATGTAGATTAGTATAATCTTACACATTCTCCATTATCACTGTTTTAACATGCTAGTTATTAATGTCTAATCATAAATATGGATTGTCGTATTTTACATTGATATTAAAGAGGGCAAAAAAATGGTTTTTCCACGGAATAACAGAATAAGAATGATACAAATACTGCTAATAACATACATATGCTACCATTTATAAATTTCAATTGCTTGATCAAATTTTTGTACATGTACTAGATGCACGTCGTTAAATTTCGGGTTAACTGAAAACATTTAAGACATGTAAAGTATTACATGAAAAAAGTAATATCACAATTAAACGGGTATTTCACGGTGATATCCGACATAAATTCTTAAGAACCTGTAAGTGTTTGATAAGTATAAATATTTCTAGAGGCTATCAGATCAAACTCGTTCATCATGTACAGGTGTACTCGAATAATTTTTAGCCACACACTATGTGACAATCTATGTAAACTGTATTACATGGAATGGATCAATAGTCTAATAGACATTAATTATTAACCGTGACAGATCATTAAACAAAGAGAGTATAGAACACACTTTGAAATGTATCCTTCGTAATCAATTTAACTTCTCATTTAAACATTCTGTACATTAGAGAATTCGATCTTTTTGAATTTCTCAACATTGTTTTTTTTTAAATAAGAACATTCAGATGAATAAATACACAGTGATGAACTACGCTAAGATTAGTACACAAAGGATCGTTCAATGTATAAAGTAGAATGATTACAAAATGTAAAATGTACAAGTCATAATAAATAAATAGAATAAAATAAAAATAATTAATCATTACTCTATACATTTGAATTAACTTCGCTCTACTATTTTATTTTATTTATTTCAACACATAGATAATGGTACAAAGAGGCACCAAATACATGTGCGCCACACAAATCTCATTCGATATGTGTGAGGGCTGTGATACTGCCCGGGTGCCCAGACCGAAGCAGGAACTTCGCTCTATACATAATAATATAGAGTTGATAACAAAACACCAAACCTACAATCATGTTTATCTGTAATACAACAATGGGAAACTACTCTATAGAATGTATACAACAAATTATAACTTGCTTAACAAGTTAATCATTTATATTCATATAATACTATACTATAAGATATATCATAATGTTCTGACATAATATCAATATAAAATAAACAACATTATCACTTATAGGATAAATAAAAATATTTAGAAAAACCAAAGAAATAAATTCACCTCAGCCTCTTGTCTTAATAATAAATTCTCATTTAAACTTTCAGTAACGCTAAGTTTCCTAAGTTCGATAAATCGTTTGGCACGTTGTCTGGCAACAGCTAATCTCGAGGTAGCTTGATCTTGAGTGTCTTGTGTCAGTGAATCAGTATTATTGTTAACTAATTTACTGGCATAATGATTATCAATACCGTTACCATTAATAGTATTATTATTATTATTATCATTAGCAGATGTATTAACAGTATTCATCATATGATTCTCGTTTTGTTGGTACGTCATAGATCCATCTATCATTGCATTTTGTCGTATTGCACAAGCGACAGTAGCTGCATTTATCTCTTGTGTTTTTTGTGTACGACGAAGTTGTCGTCGGAGACGTCGACCAACTGTTTCACACTCAGAATCCTCATCTTCATTATTTTCATTTATTTTGTTATTCTCTTCCCCATCAATTTCATTGTTGGAATTCAAACAATTTTTCATTGATCCATTATGTAGGTTATTACTTTTAGTATTAGTATTTGTTACGTCATTGGAATTATCCAGCCTTCTTAAATAATTGCCTGACTTTATGTTAGAACATGACTTGAAAGTAAATGGACCACAAACGATAACTGATGCTTTGCATGGAGGACTGAAATATTCTACTCTCTTAGTAAACCTAACATTTGTTGCAGTATATCCATCGCAAATAATGCAAACAGTAAATACAGCTGCAGGATGATCCGGTAAAGTTTCAGTACAATCCACAAATTCACCATCTATTGGCCAACGAAATCTAGGTGAATTAGCACCGAAAACTAATGGATTGTTACTAGTTGTAGTAGAACGCATACGTCTTAATGGAACACCACGAGATAATGGTATTAGATAAGGCATATATTCTATCACACTAGTGAATAAACTGAGTCTATACAAAGATGGCTGTTGCTTTTCTTCCCTCTTATTAATTATACAAGTAGATGATGAAGGAGCCTGTTCTGTATCCAACGAGAAATAGTTTGAACATCGTTCACAAACAAGACGTATGTCATTGGTCTGAGTGGCCGTGCTTGCCGTTGGAACTTGTTTTTGACATAATTCATGCTTTGAAATTGGTTTCAATGTAACCAAACGACTGCCAGAAGTAAGTGCCTTAAGTAATTGGTTTACAGGAGATTTGACTGAAGAAGATGATGTAGGCAATAGATCTCCAGCACCAGCCTCATTTCCATAAACTGGTGATTCTGGAGACAACAGAGATGATGAAGTGGCCAACAAAATGATGCCTTCATCATGTTTCAATGCACATCCATCGTCTTCTGTATCAAATACATCATTGTCTGAAGACCCCCCACCAGTATCATCTTCAAAATCTGGACCATTAAAACTAGAGGTAGCTTTTTCAAGTTTACGTAGCAGTGCTGCATTCACCTCATCAGCTTTAACGCCATATGTAGGTTTGATTGTGCGTCGTGTTGTTGCAGGTTTCCTATCAGCCGGTGGAGAATAAGAAGACTCTCTAGATGCTGCGCTTCCTACACGTAATCGACTTAAACCATCATTAATATGACTATTACCAGTACCACGAACTGCAGACGCTAAATTTGGATTCGCAGGAACTCTTGGTGGACGAGTAGATGAAGTAGACATTATTGTTAAACTTTGATTAGTTTTGGGAGAATTAATGTAACCTAATTGATTAGAGATCAATGTCAACTGTTGAAAAGAATCAGTTATGTAAGATTCCAATAAAGAAATTGAATCTGATGTTGTTAATAATTGAATATTCGATAAGTTAGTGAAATTGTTTGATGAATTTTCTGTGGAATTTATCACAGGATTTGGTTTATAATCGGACAATAGAAGTGGATTAGATGAATAAATAGATTGAACACTATTTTTAATTGTTTTACAATAATGATAAACTATACAATCTGTAACTATAAGTAAAACATGATAATGTACTGACTGTGTAAAATAGAGAAAATCTTGCTCAGAAAGTGTCAAATTTATCAGTTCAACTAGTAAATATGAATGAGAGGGATGTAATAAGTTCGATGCATATTCCAACAAATGAAACTGGTTATCTATAATTTGTGAATAATTATGCAAAGAGTATTCAGGTGTTTGTTTCGTTAGTGTCCTAGTGTTGTTCTCTTTTAAATTGGAAGATGATGTGCAAATAGCGATAGGAAGATAACAATTTGGTACTAAATGCTGTAGACAAACAGGTTGAACAATACCAACAGAAGGTTCTACAGAAGTAATTGAAGTTATTCTTGGCACAAAATTAGAAAATTCAGTTGATAAGGCAGAAGGGGTCGGATTAAAACTCGCACGATTTGATGACTGTATACAATTAAGTGATGAATGAACTACTGATGACAATTCTTGTTGCTGTAAATTATTTGTAGAATCTGATGTACAATGATTAAAATCAGATGACGAAACTGTGTTATCATAAATGGGTGAATCTGATGGCTGACCTTGGTTGGTAGGTCTGGCCGAATAACTTGTTTTTTGCCCCAGTTGGAAGGTGAATTTAACAAAAATTGATGTTGAAAATATATATATTTAATCCGAAATTCAACTGTCATGTATACCAACAATAAAATGAATGACACTATATAGACATTGTGATGTGATGATAGAGATCGACGTAACCAATCATAAACATAGAAGTGAGTGAAGGAGGATATTGTGTTATTTGAAAATTCAGAAAAGTTAAACCAATGTACAAATGAATTGTTGATGAAGTAATATATATTAAAGGTGCGCAATAGGGCAGATAAATTTTATGCCAAACCGAATATAATATAAGAATAGGCTGCACAACAAGTTCCAAATTACTGCCGTCAATCAGATCCGATAAGATAGTTTTGTTTAGTGGTAGTAATATAGTCTTTTTTTTCTAGACACACGCAGAAAAGTTGAAGAAAACACGCACACCAAGTGTACATTCACAAGGTTCGGACAAATACAAAATCAATCTGTTGACATTACTACGTGTTAACGCACACACACACACAAGTATAATCACGCATACATGAACAAAATCAGTAAAACACTGTTTCCTGAGGAGCAGAAAAATATTTGCACAAACTAACCCACTTATCACATTTTTTCATTTTACATACCGTGGGCGTAATTAGGAAATTAAGGAAGCTATATACAGTCTAATTCATTTGCCCACATAATGATTGTGATTAAAAACAAACACAAAATTGTGTAGCATTTAGGCAGCAAAACATATCCTTGAAACAGTAGTCTACTGCATGTTATAAGATCGAAGGGGAAAAAAAGCCTCCATACAATATATAACTAATAAGAATTCACTTAGTCGATTGTATTGATGGAGATGAAGAGAAGAACTGGTTTTGCCACATGTTGACACACACAGAGAGAGAGAAGAACAATCAATTGACATATTGAACCAGACATAAAAGCAAATCAAGAAATTGGTCAAAGGATAAATAAGTAATCGATTATCATTATTATTGGTAATAATGACTATATTATGAAGTAAAAATTAGTTTCAAAAGTAGATTATGTAACCCTAGTAAAAAAAAGTTATTTTTAACGTACATATAGAAGAGAAACATCATAGAATACTTCGTAAAGTTGTTCACACAAAATATACTGAAAAATAGTGATAATCACCAGAAAATTAGAAAACCCAGTTTTACATTGGATACAGTATCCTGAATCGTCCAACAATGGTATCAGTAATAAATAATGAAACTTTTAGTCAATCAATTCATATTTTTTATTATAGAGGTTTTTGTGGAGATTACTGAATTTCATAATTTCAGTGAAAAACTGTAACTCTTGGAGTGTAATCAACTCGGATGTGAAGCAATTACACACTGCTAGCACGAGAAGATGTCTGTACCATATAAATGAAGAAAAATTAACTTATTCATCTGGGATTTGGGTATAAGCCACACTTTAAGTGTGAGGTTAAATGGTACTGCCTAGTTGACCAATCCAAAGCAAGTGGAGCAAGGACTTAGTGGTTGTAAGTCGGATACTTTAATCACTAGATTCATTACCTTAATGATTTAAGGAGAATAATACTAATGGTTATATATTATAATAATCCATAACCATTCATAAACCCTACCTAAATACTAATTATTTATCATTAAACCTTATGTGCCCCCAAATGCCCTGGTACAGCTGAGAGTGGGGAGAGTCCGCTCATCCTCTCCAAATGCTCTCACATGGCCACGCGTATATAGCCTCTGCCAGGGAAGTCATGCTCACTGCCTTCTCACACCACAGGGGTGTTGTTTACGAAAATGAGAGGACGAAAAGCGAATGTCCGGCGCTTTAACCGGATTTTAAACCAATGGTGCACATGGGCTCCAGTATCCTGAAGGAGAAAATGGAGTACTAACCAACTGTTGGTCACCGGCTACCATGGGACTGCATCTCTTTACGATGCTCTACTGCCTTGTGGATTAGACCTTCAGGTCGAAGGCTCAGGGAGTGGCCTCCTAAGAAAACCACCTGCTTCGGTTCGGACACCCGGGCAGTATCACAGCCCTCACACATATCGAATGAGATTTGTGTGGCGTATATGTATTTGGTGCCTCCTTGTACCAATATCTATGTGTTAAAATAAATAATTAATAAATAAACACCTTATGATTTTATTTTAGTTCTGATAAGCAATAAAACAATTCCAAATAGAAAAGTGCAAATCTTAACTTTAAATGAACTAAAATAAAAAATCGTTCAATCTACCCAAGTGACAACTGATTAAAAAGAGCTATAAAAAATAATCATGAACATATTGATTTCTAATAAAAAAGGAAATCATAAATTGTGTGTGTGTGTGTGATGATGATATATACGACAAATTGTAAGTTGGCTTGTTAAAAGTAGAATGTATACTTATCACGATAAGAAAATGATGAAGTTATTGTGACGCAGGAGAGTATCGTTAATTTTATAAATTGAAATGCATGATATCTATTACATTGAAGATTCTTTCAAGATAAAGCATTAGAACAGTTTTTTTCGATACATTTGTATTTGTAAGAAAGTATGGAAATGAACTTAAAAATAGAGATTATGTTTTCAAACATCATCTTGGAATAGTACAAAGATGCTACCCTGTCATAAGAAAATGTTTCCAATTTCTACAGAAAAGGTTTAAACTGATGAAAAACACAAACACAAAATACTATAAGGAATATATATATTCGGTGTATGATGAGAATGTCAAATTTCTGACATACAGCTTCTAGGAAGAAACCAATTTTAAGATTTATATAATGATCTGAAGTGAATTCATTCGGTTTTCAAATGTAGATTTTATTATCGGTTTTAATTCATTTTTCTTGGGACTTCCACAATACATGATTCTTACAAGACGTCCTAGAGCATTGCAGTATTATGTACTAGCTAATCGGTTTATCTAGTCTGCATAAACTTTGTTTCTTATTAAATCGAATCTCATAAATTATTCGTAACTTAAAAAAATACTAAAAACTACCTCAAATCACAACATTGAAGGAATACATATACAGTTGTCTTAAGTAACCAGAATATACATCAATAGAGATGATCGAAATTTATAATGACAAACATTGAATAGATTTTCAGTTGATAAAAATTCATTGGTGTTAACCTAGACATTTTCAATGCAATTCGATCTACTTTCTAATGATCACTGCATACATCAATATTGACGTGATCAAAAGTCATAAAACGTAGAAACTAATAACACCAAAAAAAATCAATATATGTACACACTAACTGAATCGAAGCTAAGATACAATTCGAACAAGGTTGAACTAAATCACTAGATATTATGAACCTTTACTGACTAGGATCATCGAAAAATTAACGAACACAGACTGCAGGACAACTATTAACCTTGATCAGCAATGATTAATCAAAAAAATAATAATAAAACCGAAGATAAAATTGGGCAATTTTGAAGCATTCGATTATGACTAAGTGGGATGTGTCAGGAACGATGAGAAGCTAGTGAATTTATGATCTAAAAGATTTACTAGATAAACATGTACACATAATCAGAAAAATCCAAGAAACCCAATGATAAAGAATAACTCAAATAATTGATTGACTCACAGATGAGCTACTTGAAGAATCAGAATTATGAGATTCAGAGTCTCTAGACGACTCATGTTGACTATGATGATGATGATCTGTACGCCGTGAAGTTGTTTCAGGTGTTTTTAAGAGTGCTTTAGAACTGGAAACTTTAGTTGAATAGTTATTATTCACCTTTTTAATACTTTTAGGACCAGGCTCCCATACAATATCTGTTTGTTTTTTACGCGCATTCTGGTGATGATGATGATCACTTGATGCCCCAACATGTTTTCCAACTCTGCCGATAGGTGATTGACTCGAAGAGGTAACTGGTGGGCGAAAATTTCTCGAGTTGCCACTTTTAGACCAATGTAATTTTGAGTCATGTACATCTGTTTTAATGTGTGAATGTTTTACAGGATAATTCCTAGAGGCGTAATTTTGTCGCATACCATTAGTATCCTTGTTATTGGTTGTATGTCCAAAACGAGGTGGTCTCGATCGAGATGAACTATCAGTCATATCAATATGCATAGTTCCAGATTTAAATGACTTACTAACATAATGATCATCGCGAGTATGACGTTCATGAGCCATTGTTGACCAAGAACTTTCTTCTCGTTGATTTTTTATAGAACTCGAACGCCTGTAGGGTAAAATATATTTATAACCAATAATATTTCAATGAACGTATGGAATATGAGTAATAATCTCTCAACATCCAATATTATAACAATATGGGTGTTAGTTATGATACTCGGAAAAACTTCAACAATATCCTGCTTATAAAAGAATGACATGTACACTTGTTTGTACACAGAACTATAGAACTTCAAGTCCCACTCTTTACTGATTATGCCATTTCCCAAAAATAAACTAATCTATATGACAAATCTCAAAAAAAAATTTAGTTATGTATGTTTTAGTGTTGTGTGAACTGATAAACATTTAAATGAGACAATCGAGTCGATGATAGAGATGTACAAATAGTTAGTGACTATCCATCAACAGATTTGACAACTCGCAAGTGTTTCATACATCAGAAAACATCTAAACATGTGGGACAATTAACAAATAATAAAAACATACATGACCAAGTCAACAGATAAGCATTTAACTGTATTTCCGCGATGACAGTTTCTCAACGATTCACATCGTAATAATATACCGATTACTATAAAAATAATCTATGCATAACGAATAGATAGCATGATTATAGAGCAATTAGTATTGTTTATTATCCTAACAAGCTGCACTATACCAAGTGTATTTCATTATGTTAACAGGGCTGAGGAGATATGACTGATGGAAATTAATTCAAGACACCAATTCAACCTACTGAAAATTATGTTAGTAATATCTTTAGTCTAGTTGAAAAACAAAAAAAGGCAATAACGTTGGAAATTTGTCAGTACTATGAAGCAAATCGTAAATTAAATATATGGTCTACTCAACATGATTGTTCTATTCAAAACAATCAGAAAAACACAAATAGGAAAATATGTATGATAAACGCAAAAATAACACAGGAGCATAGATTATGTTTGAAGCTCACCAAAATGGAAACTCCATAAATGGGTACAAATACAGACATATATGTCAGCTTATATTCATGTTAATATTGTAAGTTATAACACAAACGCAGTAAATAGTTAGAAAACCATATCTACCTGGATGTTTTCGAAGTAACTTGCCCATGAAAAACTTTCTTGTTCACTGAGTGATGAGAGTTTGGAAGCTGAGGATGTCGTAAAGATGAAGAGGGAACTTCATTGACATAACCTTTTCTTGATCTCCATATTTTAGTTTCAAGTTTTGTACTCGTTGGTGGAGAAAGCAAAGCACGTTTACGGTTGTTATTAAAATGTTTTTCTTCAATATTACGTTCAATCCGGTTTTTAGACTGCCCATATTTGCGAGTATTCGATAATGATGAATCAGGAGTACATGGCTTTCGCTTGGAATGTTTATATTTGTTCTCTATCACTCTTTCTTTATTTCTACGATTTGGCACATTGCGATCAGTACTTCTTGAAGAAGTGTAAGAAGAAGTTGGAGAACGAGAGGACTGTCTACGGACATTTCGATTACCTGGTGTTGAGCTCTCATCCTCAGAAACGTCAGAACAACCATCTTCACCACGTCTCAAAATGGATGACTCTTTAGAAGAGATATCTTTGAGATCTGATGAAGAATCACGGTAACTATAAACCGGATTCGATATTTCTCTTCTATTGTTGTCATCGATGTCATCACCAGAATCAGAACTTCTATGGCACACGGATGCAGGCAGCTTTTTCTTTTCTTTTAAAGAGCGGGTTTGTCGATTGTGATCATTGCTATCATTTAGTTTTTTTGATTTCGGTTTAATACCTTGTCGTCGCGACCTCGACTGATTATGTCTACCTCTGTCCTGTGACTGAGACGTTGATGAATGACGTGAAGAACCAGATGATATTACTTGGATCTTGTTATTTTCTGGAAGATTACTTGAACTTGAGCGAATGTGACAATATGAACGAGAGGATGATGAAGATGAAGTGGAAGAAGATGAACTACGAGGAGAAGGAGCAGGTGGAGGTTCAACATCACCGGATGAATGTGACCGATGTCGGTCGGTTTGATGAGGATTTGCATAAGCTGCAGGTAGTGCACGGTTTTGTTGATCCTATTCAAAAGAAAATAGTTTTCTTTATACTTCAAGAGTATATGGAAATAGTAATTAAATCAAGATAAGTTCTTGTGGAATACACCACATTTATAGTTATCATTTCAAAACTAATGTGATTTGTTTACGCTAGATTAAAAACAGGGGATTCAAAATATTTTCATCCAACAAGTTAATATGGACATTTATACATCTGTGATGATAGTATAATGCGCAGTTACGATTTTTAATAGGGGGTTGTCAAGTTATTTGATAAAGGAAGAATACGTTGCAAAACTTTGACATGTCACCATTTAGGAAATGACCAACCAAGAAGATTATTCTACTAGAATAATCGTGCGGTTTAAGCTTCATAAAAGTCAACAGTGTACAATGAGAACTTGTGTGATGTTTTATTCAGGTGACTAAGATCAATGGTAAATGACCGTCATGAATCAATCCTATACCTTGGCACGACATTACTGAAATAATCTTTTTTCACTTTGGTGCTGTTACTAATCACTCAGTCATTCGGAGAACATAATGATTTGAACAAATACATTGCAGATCAACGTCCAAATGAGAATAGTGGGATTGAAAAGTACTATGAAACAGTAATAAGCTAAAATCAATTTTTTTCGAATGAACCAAAATTCTAAAAATTATCTAAACACTTACCGAACTGTCACTGCTATCACCAGTATCATCGCTACGAAAATTTGCAAACTGTGATGATTGGTTGGGGGAATTATCTTCGTAGGACATGCCTACATTGGAATGTGTAATATGTCGATTTGTAGATCTCTTTCTTTTATTGGAAGTATTACAGACATTTGGAGCTCCATAAGAATTTGACCGAGAAGAAGATGCGGAAGTGGATGAGTTGGAACAGTTGGAGCTGTGATAATCTCGACTATGCATTATTTTAGTATTATGCTTTGAGGAGCGTGTCTTCGGTGATCTGTTATTTGACGGTTGAGAATTTGTACACACAACAGGTTTTCTTACGGATAGATTTTCATTTGAATTCGATGAATCCAAACAGCGACCTGATATGGAACTAGTTATCTCATTTTGTCTACGCGTTTTATTATTAAGAGAACTTCTGGAGCAAGATTCACGGGATAAATCATAATGTGAACATGTACCACCAGAATCACCTTCATCCTGAGAAGATAACGGTGGACTAGACGGTGTTCTAGGACCTCGTGGAACACGCGAGACTGGTTTATTAGAATTTGTATCTGACGGACCAGGCGCATCATCAGGAGACATATATTTGTTGCCTTTACGGGAGAATTCTTGTTTGTCTGATACTGGTTCCTGTTCTTTTTTCATTTTATCTTTCACTTTACGTGTTGTTGAAAATTTCCCTGAATGCTTGTTCTTTGGGGTTTCAAACATACATCTATCTGAAGATAGTGGTCTACAAAGTTAAAGGCGCATCATAAAGATGATCAAGCACTTAAAAGTTATGAATCTCCAAGTAGACTAACTACAATACTTTCATAGGTATAACTATGATTTCTACAAAATGTATACACTATTTAAAGGCAAGATGAGTTCTACAAAATTATGCTGAACCCTAACCCTAACACACGTAACTGTAATATGTTCCCAGTTTTTGACAAAGTTTAACGCAACTTATCGGACAGGTATAAATGCACTACAACTAAACACAGATAATTAATAAATATATAAACATAAAATCTTAGTTTTTTTGCTGCATAAGTGGTTTAGTCGTACTTGTTAAGTGACTCGAAGGTGGCAAGTCAAATCGTGTGTGGCGTTTGACCATTATTAAAAATCTTTCATTCATAAGACTAATAATGTAGGAAACATTTTGATTTTTGTAACATTGTTTGGAGAAGCTATTTGGATTAATTCACAAGATTCTTACTATTTAGAAAGGCATTATTTCATGATTAGTGTTCTAACAACCAAATCACTTCGTTAGTTGCTACTGATGCACATTTCTAGGACATATTACTCAATTTACGCAGGTTGGTAACGTACTAAACTTGATTTTATCAGTACTATTAAACAAACTTAAATAAACCAAAAAGATTTCTGCAGACAAAAAAACTACAGGTCCGTTAGTTTACTTACCTATTAACAGATTTGCGTACTACAACATTAGACTGATAATCTGAACCAGAAGAACTATTACTTTCAGTGTCCGAGTCATTACCATGTCGAGTTTTCATGTTGTAATTTTTATTAAACGTGGAACGAATTTCCCTGACATCACTTCTTATTTTGGAGTTCTCATGTTTACTTCGTCCAGACTTAGGTTCTGATGACTCAGATGGAGGATGGCAGTTCAACTTTAAACTATTTATTTGTTTCTGAATTTCAATTGGGTTTGGTAAATTAAATAGATCACAAAATGGTGGAGCGAAATCAACAGGAGGACATCTTAGAGTATTTAACAAATTCGATGGATTCATAGACGGAAATAGAGATGGACAAAGACCTGACATTAGTGCAGCAGCTTCCAAGACATTTGGAATATGAGGTGATGTAGCACAACCAGGGAATAATGATAAATCATTACCAGAGTTACGAAATCTTAAATGTCGTCTATCCACATCCACTGGTGTAGGTAAAAGTGGTCCACGTTCATGATCAAACCTAGGGTGGAAAATATGAGATTTAGTCAATGAAATAACGTTTGTGGATCTAATCATCCTTATGTAAAATGACTTACTCAGTGGACGTAGGAAGTAAAGTGTCAGTAGGCAGGACTTCAACATGTCGTCTCTTGCCTTCTGTTGCAACTCGGCTAAATGTCGAGGATGTAGAAGTTTTCTGTACCTTTGAAGATTTTGATTCTGATAAATTATTCGCCTTTTTCTGGTTTTGCTGATTTGAGCTAACTGTTTCACGTGAGCTGTCAGCTTCGTTTTCGCTTGATGATTCTTCAAGTACGCCTTCATTTTCTTCGCTTTCCTCACCATATGTATCATCATCCTTAGCCTCACCTTCTTCAACAGATTCAGTTTCATTCGGTGACACTGCTTCTGTGGTGCTAACTTCATTATTAGCTCCGAATGATTGTTTAGATTCAGTAACAATCTCAGAAGTATTTGATGTTACTACTTTGGAATTATCTTCGTCATGAACTGACTCCTCTTTCTGTCTGGTTGACGTAGTAGTTTCAACAGTCGAGCCTAGTTTAAAAAAATATTAACCCAAAAGTATGAACACTTCCCAACAATCCAAATATAAAACATCGGATATGAAAGTAATAGTCAAGTAGAAAAATGATTTACAAAGCAGTTTTATTGATTGGTTTAACAAACAATAAGCAAATAACTTGATCTGTACGCTGAATATTATATCCTATGGAAGAACAATATTGATACAATTGCAAAAAGGAAGAAATAAACAGTTACCAATATACGTGAATGTAATCGAAATCGACATATACTTCAAAAATTATCACCGATATGACATTCTTGATTAATCAGTCACTGTGAACTGGTGTTAATGTGAAATAAGTTACTTAATAATTACAAGTGACTGTAAACGCATTAGTACAAAAGCAAAAAGAACACAGCAATTATGCATCCAACATCTAATTATCACAGTAATGATTACGAGCTTTCCAGTGATCAATAAAATTTGAACGAATGTTGTAAAGAGTTTATGGTACAAAGTGATTTTTTGTGACAAAAATAAAGAAATCTGCCCCCTATTAATTAAGATATTGACAAGAATTATGAATGAAGTGAAACAGTGAACTTCCATTAGCTCTCACTGGTCATGTGAGAGCATTTCGACAGCTGATTCTCTCCATGGCATTTGGGGGCTAAGAAGACAATATGAATTCGTGGGATAAAAAAATATACGGTGGTTTAGAAACCTAAGAAGAAAAACAGTAAGCGCACCAGAACCATGTCATACAGAGTATCTATCCATTGGTTACGAAAATAGAGAGGACCACAACGAGACAACCTGAACCTACTTATACAACCTATCCTTAATGCCAATAACTCAAGAGACTAGTGTCATGTATTGTTTTACCCACCCCTAACTTTCTTTAAAACTACTCCCTAGACAAAACAACGTTGCACGTAAAGGTTAGTGGTGATTGGGCATAAGTAATAAATATCTCAACTAACTCACTTTAAAATTTACAGCCTCATCAATCAATATGTCATCTTTACCTAGTACGTTTCATCTAATCTCAACACTGTCCACTCAATTGGTAGTCCCAACATACACCAGTGATGCTTCAGAGGTATCTACAATCATATACTAATACTACACAGATATCCTCTATTTCCAAAGGTGAAATGTTGTAGAAGATATGTAATTTAAAGCAACTTAACTAAGATTGATAGGGTGAACCAAAAGGTGAATACGCTTTACTTAGAAAACTTACGTCTACGAACAACGCGTCTGGAAGATTTCTGTTGAATTTCATTATCATCATTTGCTGAGTTCCCTTTACAAAGCTGATCATTACTGACGTAATCTGGGCAATGGTCATCACTTTCTTCAGAAGTGTATTCTGTCTTTTTTACTTTGATAGGTGATTCTCTTTTTCTAAATCCTTTCCCTTTTGCAACTGTATCTTTCACAGAGGAACGAGAAGAGTCGTTTGTTCTATTAGATCGAAAAGTACGGGAATGTGAGTGTTGACGTTGTTCAGGTGAATGGGAAGAAACATTGGATGACTCATGCTTATGATATTTTTTTGGACGCCTTCCACGTATACTTACATCTCGATTATGTTTGGAAAAATCAAAACTATTACCACTTGATAGTACCGATCCTATAGAAGTTAGATCCGATGGAATACCTGAATTGTTAGCAGCTGCAGCCGCAACAGCAGGTAGTAAGTCAGCATTGGGATAACTAAAATAATAAAACAAAATGGGATTATACCAATATATACCCACATTCATTGCAACTCTAGAAATCTTATTAAATAAACACGATTTGTAAATGAAGGTGGATATTTACTGACATCGAATGGCATTGAGTTGACGATAGGCCTAGTGAGTTTTAGGATTATACGAATGACTACGTCTTAGACTAATGCTTGTAAAAAATTTCAATATTCCTCTAATAAATCTCATTATAGCACTCATTTGAAAGAGCAACCAGTAGTTTTGGAGGCCTTCCAGTAACTGTTTAACTATTCTTGCAAATGAACAAAAGTATCCCGAAGAAATACGTAACAATTTTAGCATCATTTCTTCTGGAGTAGATGGTTTTATTACAGGTCTCATTGTTATGCTGCACAACATTAAGCTCACACTTTACATAAGGTAGGCACTTCTCAAATCTTTAATACTTCAATATATAACAATAAACCGTATGTTTCCATAAGCTTCACAGCGTTATGACCGTTGATCTGCTGCTCTGACAAGACAGTAAATTAGAAACTGAGTCTGAAACAACTCATTTCTGAATTAAAAACGTGTGGTAAAATAACACAACCGTAATAAACAAATGGGTTCGATTGTTAAATTACTAATGAAATGGAAGTGGATAAAAACTAGGACTACATTGATCAGCGAGAAAACTGGAGATCACACTATTTGACCATAGTTTTTTTCCTTTGCTGAATAGTAATTACACAACAAGGTCATGACAAAATAATCACGTATATCGAGATTGTATTAAAAAAACTGTTATCAACTTAATATTGAGAAAAACGATAAGTGTGCAAAGAAACCATTTCGAATCCATTTGTAGGTTTTGACAACAGACAGGTTACATAGCATCAGCCAACATATAAATTCAAATACAAAGAATTCTCTCGACTTCCTTGCACTTTATAATAAGTACCTTACAACCATTATGAATATTACAAGTTTTATCACCAACAGTTACGCTGTTCCCATTACACGATGGCAAAAGTCGGCTAGGAATAGTTATCCTGTAGTTAGGTAATACATTGAGTCATTATCTTTTCATATCATAACACAAAAACTTGAATGAAAGTGAGTAAATAAGTAGCATCACTAACCGTCAGTGTGATACCAACCTCGAATACATAAACCTGTACTTGGCAGACGAGATTCGTCACATTAGTTACTTGTGATGCTGTTTCCTGTCATACAAACGAGCATTTGATTACTTATTAGTGAGTAGGGTCTGATTATTGAAAACGGGTTCAGAAGAAACCGAATTTGTACCATTGTGTATTCATTACGAACAAAGTAGCATATTTTAGATAATAGTTTTAACTTACTTTGACAATGAGAGAGCAGTCGCCGTATAAGTTCGGTAGTACTGTTGATACATATGACTGTAATACAACATTAAAAGTTGCTCATTATCCATATTTTGATTAGCATTATTAACATCCAGCCTGTAGTTTTTGAATTTGTTGGGTACAGTAGCTTGATTGGGATCGTAACCTTGAAATCGATTCCCGTAACCATGTGGTCGAATACTTAACAGAGGATTCCTAGATAAGCTAGTTACTTTACGAGGGACAGTTTTGTTTATTCCCAGATTCCATTCTTCATCAGAGTTATGACTTTCTGCACTAGGAAAGCCATAGCCGGGGCTTGACTTTCTTATTCGCTTTTGTTCTCCCGAATGATAGTTGACCGCATTACTGTTGCCACGTGAATTGTATCTCCGTTTGATACCAAGTCGTAAAGAAGTATCATGATCAGTATCCCGCACATGCCGCCTTATATCTGTTTTCCCCATATTTGCCGAATCATTGTAGCATTTTCTGAGCTGCAATTTATGGCGTGCATCTGAAGGGAGTAGAGGAACGTGTGAACTTGAAGAGTACGGCATGTGACAGGATTTTGGGACTCTGAAAAGCAAAGCACTATGATGAGAGGTACGAGTTAGAATTCAGAATTGATTTAACTAGGAATGATAGAAGTGTAGTACCTGTCACTTCCTAGTTGTCCAAATGGCGTAAGCTTTGACACCACTTAAGTGACTCCTGTCTTATTAGCTTTGGACTTTGGTCTCTATTGGTCATGCACAATGTAGAAACTGAGATTTGAACATCAGTTCGAGTTGCCATACCATCAAGACGGTAGCACTTTCAATCGTCTGTTGCATATTCTTCTTAATGCACTTACTTTCCTTAATAATTGACTTTACGTATCTTTTATGGATAATGAAGAAGGCGGTAAATCCCAGTTTGTCAATAACCCCTTATCTATATATTAGATCATATGGTATCCAAGCGTAGATGTTTTGTAGAGATGAAAACACAATAATGGCATCTCAGTGCGTCTTAATAACTTTTAAATTCAAGAGAAACGAAGTTAGACTACATAAATGATCGGAAATAATACCGACTACGTGTTCCTGGAAGTTACCGATGTAATAAAATTCGGAAATAATGTACACAATCATGAGCTGTCATACGGCTTGGTCATTGATCCTAAGCTTTTCCGACATTCCTTTATCAAAAGATAACCTGTCCGTTTATTATTAGAGCCTCGAAAATAAGCTGCTATGCCCTATACATGAATGAGGTATGAGACGAGAATCTGACTAACGAACCTGGCTAATAAACACTAATGAATTGGAGTATTTAAGGCGGACAGATGAAACAGGAAGAGAATAACTCATAAAGTATGAAGAAAAAAGTCTTTAGACATATGAATAAGATGAAAATCAACGAATACTTCCTCCGCATATAAAAAAGCACGCTCATAGGTTAACGACAGTTCATCGGAATCTACTGTCCCCAAACGTAACACACTGACAAAACTATTATAATAAAACGCAAGGAACAGACTTAAGCTCCGTTAATTGACGAAAAATATCTAACAGCAATGAATGACGAGTGCGAGATCCTTAAACATGTATGGAATATTCATTTACGTCCTAGTAATTTAAAATGTTTATCCAAGCAGACTCAGTAGGAGAATTAAAATAGCGCTAAACGAGGGGAAAATTAGATGACCGAAGTAACAAATATAGGAAGTGATAAACCCTTTATTCTAATAAATTCAATGCATTTACTTGGTTAACGGTTCGCATATGATATGACGTCTTATAAGTGTAATTCAGCGAATATCTTAATTTTAAGCAATGATACACATTGATTGCAGTGTTAAAAGTCATTTAAAAGAGTGTAATAACACCTAACTACTCAAAACCCTAGGTAAACTACTCACATTCATGAGATTCGAAAGCGCCGGTTTACTTTGTTCCGCATCCGGGAGGGAGAAGAAAAACAAATTGACTTAAAATCTGACAAAATAGACAATTTTTTAATACATTTCATGAAAATTAGCACTTTTTCAAAAAATATCTTTCTCATGGGTTGATTTTTAAATTCAACGTCCAATATTTGAGAGTTCATAACATTCACATGAGGTGTAGTGGACTGTGTATTCGTATGTCCTATCTACTGTCTATTTCTCACCACGAATCAGATGGTTAAACAGTACTACGATAAAAATTTGAATTAAATTCACTGATCTTTTTTTAATTTTTTCTGTCGAGAAACAGCTACATACATTTAGCAGATTACCGTCACTTAAGTGTGATAATTCGCCAATTGTAGAACGTTATAAATAAAAAAAGCCTAGCTCGCCTAACATAAGTTTGTCGGACCCTTCTGAAATCTGGGCCATTCCGATGAACTTGCATCATCACCAGACAGTAGTCCAGCTAATATAGCTGAGTCAGTAGTTAGCAAGAGGTTAATCGAGAACAAAAGATTTTGAGCTAACTAGACATAAGGGAAAATCGTTATTCATAGATATGAAAGCTCTGAGCGGGAAACAACACGGAGGAGTGTTCTTGTTTCACAAACATATTCATGAGCGAAAGAATGACGAAGGGTCAAAACACTACATCCTAAAAAAATACATGAGATTAGGTGTAGTGCAAATAAGTTTAGAAAGTGTTAAGATGGGTTCGCGGACGTCAAGGTGGAACGAAAAACCGCAAACGCCATCACGTTTTCAAATCAGTTACTGGAGACGTTCAGCTAAGTGACAGCACTCCGTCCAAATCCTATGGATAAGCGCAAGGCTAATAGCAGATTAGTTTGTCAAATAAGGACCGGTAAATGATACAACCGGAGTAAATACTGCAAGCAGTAGTCATATGTAACTGAAGAACAACTCCACTTTTTATAGTTTTTAGAGACCACCAGAGCTGTATGTGATATGGTGCCACTCTGCGACTCAGAGAAGCAAAGCCTTAGTCCAACATTAGTTATGCAACTTGTATATACGTCCAAAGTGTAGACGTGTGAAAACCAGAAGTTTCAAAAAATCTTGACCCAAATATCTTGCTTTGTTTAAATTTTGCTGTTGCAGATTACTTGGAGCAAAAACTTAAGATGCACTTTGCTCCTCGATAGCTGACTTTCCGACGTTGATGAAAACAACTATGCTGACAAAGACCAGAAGCATCTAATTACTTACCATATAGCTACCAATTAAGCAGATCGTTTCCATCATCTCCATACAATCACCAGTCGTTCTTGCCTCTCGACGTCTACAACGGGAAAAGGAACTAATATTTCATTATAATCAATCAAAGTGTCTGAAAGGGAAACTGCGAAAATTCTGGAATTTATGTAGGCCTCAGATAATGGAAGAACCTAGGCTTTTGTCTGGAGTTTGCAAAATATGTTCAGGGAAGAATAAGCTCATTCTTGTGGTATCTGAGTGGGAGGTACATTCAGAGCATGTAGGTCAGTCGCCCTATCAAACCAGAGTGAGTGAAACAGGATCCGTACATAGGATTTGACGGCCAAACGTCGAGTGGCTTAACTAATTCGCCACCTCTCACACACATGAGCAGGCAAACATGTATTGAGAACCTTGTTTTAGTTTTAAAAAATGGTGATAGTGTGTCACTAATGAAAATATTTTGAGGAAAGTCTTAAGCTTGTTCCACATACTTCACGGCTGTTCACTTATGGATAGACCGAAAGACAGTGCATCAGAAGAAGACCCGAACTTTCCGCAACTGTTTGATCCCAGCTCATTGTCTTCTGCACAAACTTCGCTGTCTCTAGTGAATAAGATCATTCCTTCCTCTTATACTCTGTCAGCTGCTAAATTAAGACATACCTGCCCGTTGATTTGTGTTGATTATTTGAATTTTCCCATGGACACTTAAGACTACAGCAAAACCCCAGACTACAAGTGCATTCAGGTGACACGTCCCAAATAGGACGAAACTCCCTTCCTAATTTCCATAGCTAACCACCATCCATCTATGTTTACAATGATTGCGAACTAAAGCAATATCGAGGCAGTTCACACAGGATTCACATACAACAAAAAAACTGATTAGTTCTAGTCCTTAAAATCGATAAAAAGATTGAAACAACTACTGCAAGATAACTTATGCTTCGTTTTCTTTTACCTAACCTTTACTCTCGGCGGCCGTCGTATTGAAGTGCCGTTCATAGAATATTTGTGTGTGAGTTTATCTCTTTTGTTCGAACACACCGACGATAGAAATGTTTTCCCTCTTTGTTAGGGATGTCTGTTGTTATTTACAACCAATTAGTTATCATGATTTAATGTCTGCTGTTTATTTTCGAAGCGTGGTGAATTTATGTGTGCTTCTCTTTAAATAGAACATCGCAGATACACTTCTCTCTATTTAGCACGTGAGCAGTCAATATTCTTAACAATTTATTACCTTAGTGTCCTATGATCTGAGTGTACATGACGTTTACCGAATAAGCGATAATACCTGTTGATAATAGCATAGTTCGGACACATTTCGCGTATCGTGTATATAATCCATATTATCGATTCATTTTACCACTTTCGATTGACTGACTTATTTGTTCCTTAGATAAACATGAATCAGTTGTTGGTCAACAAAACTGGCCACATATTTCTGAATAATACCTATCGGAATAAATATCTTTTGCCTTTTTGTTCGGGATTCCCGTAGGTTCCTCACTCCATTCACGAACTGTCAACTCCAGGTATAAAAAACTAGCTGCAATCAAAACCACGAACATAAAAGCATTGTTGCTAGAGATGAAGCGTTAGCATGACTGAAACAAGACTAGTGGTATCAACAGTTCAGGACTCCTGATATCTGTCCTTTGAAGATGTAGAAAAACTGTTACTACATCGACTAACTATGACTGTAGAACAGTTTCACCTGTTTCCCTCGGTCTCTATCTAGTCACAAAATTCTAATGGTATTTTCATTTTTACAAGAAGCGACCTTCGTAGATACTAACCATTACTTTGAAGCATATTATGTTGTACAGTGCTATAGGCTATAACAGCAGAACTTTCAATGTCAATGAATTGTACGCTATCACAAACAACCGAAACGGAAACATTTGTTCAAGAACCAGGCAGCAATATCTGTCAAATAATTATGACAACAAATACTTCTTTTCATTATTCTATTCAACAGTTTGAACAGATCATCATGCACGTAACCGTTGGTCAATAGTACGTGGAACTGAAATAACTGATCAACGTCTTAGTGCTAGAAAGCAGAATTTCGGCAGCAATAAGTAAAACATACAAATGATGTTCGCGGTTCACTTTTGATAGCTTCCGGTAATTGCTGCCCACGTTTCTCGAAGAAACTTAATATGAACTTAGCAGTCTTGATTTTCACACCAAAATAAATTGGTATTTTTCCAACAATCCCGCTAATTTCATTTTTATAAGTGGTGTCCATCAGACGAACAAGCCACCCTTTTATCTCCAACACTGAATAATTGAAATACGTCGTCATTATTCTTTCTTTCAGTTCGCTCATTACTACTGAGTCATTCATTCCGGATTGTATCTGGCATTGAAATTCATTGTACTTCACTACTTTTCACCGAAGATTCAACGTCCAGTGTTTGCTCAGCCACAATGATTGTATGCGTAAGAAACATTGTTATTCAACTCCCACTTCAGCCGAGCTATATAACTACCTGTTTGTCTAACTATCTGATAATCATATTCCATCGTTATGTCAACACATAAATATTTGAGATGTGCCAAGTGACACTCCAGACATTCCACAGTACAAATGCTTGTGATTCTGGGGACAGTGCCTATCTGATTCTACATTATTGCAAGGCTGTAGAAAGTAATAAAACTGAACTGATACGCTTTATCGTAAAGGTGACCCTGTCTTCTTGAAGTGTAGACAGGTTTTGTTTGATTTAAGAAAGGTCTTGAAGAATGAATTAGATAAACGGGTTGGAAAAAGGATAACGATCTCAAGTGAGTTGTTTAACTGAGCTGAAAGTAAAAAACCTAAAGTTTGGAGTGTTCATAGATTGACGCCTAATACTCTGCTATTGTAGCAAAGTTGTTCCTCTAAAGAAACCAAATACATACTATTTAAATTACGGAAGTCTAATTTTTTTCTCGAGAAGACCTAAAATCGGATATTTCTAAATCACACCGGAAAGAATTTTGAGTGGACTAACTACTATCAATACACCATTCAGATTTTTTTGATACATATTTCCACCTTTCTGAATAAATTTTTCACCTGCGATATTCCAGGCTATGAATCAGATTGTAAGTAATTCCGATGACGTTGGGTCATTCCAGGATGACATAGTGGTTCATGCTGAAAATACTGAGCTGCAGATAAACGTTTTGTTAAGTTCTTTTGAAGCTTTCTTGATACGGGTATTTCCGCGAACCGATTCAAGTTCCAATTTTAACTTCATTCTATCAACTGTCTAGGCTATAATGTAGACGACAAGGGCTTCAAAAACCCCTGATATGAGCCGCCAAGTCCCACTGATTGTAGGACCACTATCCACGAATATCTCTGTACACACATCATGAATTGATCCTCTTCAGCTTCATTTCAGGTTGACCTGT